AATCTTTGAAAGCATGCTGATTAATCTGATCCTTAACTCCAAAAACTCTGGGTATGGTTATTTATATACTTACGTAGACTGGTTTGATTCCTGTATGGCTTTTCTGTAGCAATTTGGGACAATTTGCTAGACCATTTCATACAATTGTAAGAGCCAACCACTTTATTCTGGTTCTGGCTGTGGGAAAAAGTGATTTTGATTCATAGGCATTTGGCATTTGTACTAAATTCCTTAGGAGCAAGGACAGGAGAAAATATCATGGCTAATGAGTAAAAAGCAGATGCATTTAACAAATATTTTGTATCTGTTTTTATAATAGAAGACACTAGGTGTACATTAGAAATAGAGGGTAAACTAAGGGTTAAAAAGAGCTTGGAAACCAAGAAAATTAATATCAGTAAAGGAAAAGTATTGAAGAAACTCAGATTAAAACCCAGCAAATCCCCAGAACTTGATAGTCTAACCGTAGGGTTCCACAAGAGATAGCTACAAACATAGTGGAGGCGCTGTCTATGGATTTCCAAAACATTATTAGATTCAGAATAGTCCCGCCAGATTGAAAGTTGTCAATGTAACTCCACTTTTCCCAAAAGGAGAGAGAGAGAGAACATTAGGAACTACAGACCACTTAGCCTGACATCAGCCTTTGCAAAAATGCTGGAATCTATTAATGAAGAAAAGCCACATTTTTAATCAACCGCTGTATATGCCTCAATGCAGCCTTTGGAAAAATTGCAAACAATTTCCATTTGGCCACGCAACTTTAAGTAACCACATTGTTTCAAATTCAGTCTGCAGTCCTTAAGAATCATTGGTACTAAATGTTCTAGCCCTTGGCATGCTCCCAGTTCCAGTCTGGATACTCGAACACTAAATTACAGTTAACCTCAGAAGATCAGGGTGGAGGAATTCCTTTTAGTCAACCAGCTTAAAAAATTCTGGTCTGTGAAACAAATACAAAAAAATTTCTGGAACATGTTTCTTTCACTAAAAAAATCAGCAAGTAATTATAAATTAACATTTGATAGTAATTCAGTAATCTGAGATTACATACAAGTATGCAGAGATATACTCCTTTACTTTAAGACCAACCAACTATAAACCAAAAACCTCATATCTGCAAAAGTACCAGTAGTCAGTTTGGCAGTTTACTATACTTGTTTTACAACATCTTTTTATACCCTTTTTCAGGAGTGATCTAGGATGTTATACTGACAGGGACATAATTTTTCTGTAGAAGTTTGCAATACATTCTATCCAGTAAACCTTTAGCTAAAACATGAAGTAACAACCTGCCTTCAATTCCAATTCCCAAGCTACGTGAACAATGATAAGGTTTGTTTCCCATATCCACTCATCCACTTTATCAGACTTGAAGGGTAGATGCTGTACTAGTTACAATTCCAGAAGTATACTCTTTTCCAAGATCCTCCTTACCTGTGAAAATCAACTTGCAGCATTTAGCAGTGCAGTTTACTTTGGGAAGGTCTTTTAACTTTGTGAAGCATGCTGGCAATATTTGGTCAATATTTGACTTGCAAAGGGTCAGTATTTTCTAACTTGTAGAAATGTAAAACTTGGTTTCCAATGCAAAAGGCTTAGTGCCCAGGCAAGAAAATTTACCACTGTGTTACCAAAAGGTTCTGCTTAAGTCAGAACTTTCCACCAAACTAGAAAGATGGCATACACAAAATGTTGGAAAGAGAAACAGAGTTAATGTTTCTGAGTCCAGTCTGACTTCTTCAGAACTGGAATAATGGCACACTCTTTCAAAGTGAGGCACCATTTACATGATAAATGTTGGTTTCCTGGTTGTTTGAAATTTCTGAGATTAGTAGGTGATGTAAAGCTTTCCCTGCTGGGGAGGCAGTAGTACAGAGTAATATAGAAGCAGAATGTGCTAATATTTTAGGGAAATGAGCTTGAATCTCACCACTGCAGAAGGTGAAGTTTGAATTCAGTAAAAATCTGGAATAAAAAGTTAAACTTGACCATTGTCAATTGTGGTAAAAACACAACTGATTCACTAATGTTCTTTAGAGAAGGAATTTAGCCATCCTTACCTGGGCAGGCTTAACATGAGACTCCAGACCCACAGTAATATACGGGGGAGATGATGGCCTAGTGGTATTATCACTAGACTATTAATCCAGAGACCCAGGTAATGCTCTGGATACTCAAGTTTGAGTCCTCCCATGGAAGATGGTGGAATTTGAATTAAATAAATATCTGGAATTGGAAGTCTAATGATGACTGTGAAACCATTGTCAATTCTTGGAAAAATACGTCCAGTTCAAAAATGTCCTTTAGGGAAAGAAACTACAGACTTTACCCAGTTTAGCATACGTGTGACTCTAGATCCACAGCAATGTGGTTGACCCTTAACTGCTCTCTGGACAAGTTAGGGATGCCCAGCAACAGCAACATCCTGTGAATGAATAAAAAAAAGTTGTGGGTGATGATTAACTGCCAATAACCTAGACAATCGGCCCATGAAATAAACTTTAAAAACTGAGTTTCTTTTCAAAAACGTCAATGAGGTAAATACCTAAAAGTTGTGCTTTCCTGGTTTTGGCCCGAATATTATTCTACTGTGTTGGTTGACCTAGTGAGATAGAAAACAGTATGATGTTTTCACTTTGATTGTTTCCTTAGAAATGTATTTGTTTCCATTTAGAGCAAGTTATATTTTAAAATATTGTTCTTCATTGTGTAAGACTCATATCAAAGTTGGAATTACATTAGGTGTTTTACTTCTGGATCTGAGAGATTTGCCAATAAATTAAATACCTGACAATCTCTAATATTTAATGCTGAAATAAAAAGAGAGCATGTTGAAAGAACATAATGATTCTCTTGGCAGCAAATGGAGAAAAGTAACATATCATACCTGGTGGAGCTAGTTATTGCCAAAGACATATGCCACCTGATCGACTTTTTCTGCTTTCAGAAATTGACTGACCTGATGTGTATTTTGCCATATTCCGAACATTTCTACCCATATTCATAGTCATCATGTGGTTTCTCTATTGCCTCAGACACAGACAGGCAATTCTCTGACCATATCCGTCACCACTCTCGTATCCTTTCCTCCTCCAAAATTACCCTTCCTTCTGTATTCAACCATTGGAAAACACCTCAAGTCACTTGGTGTTGCACTTTCACTCAACTGTCTATTTGACCTTCCATTCACCATGAAAACTCTGTAACTACTGAAAGTGAAAACTAAAAGTGTTAGAGAAACTCAGCAGGGCTGGCAGCAGGGCTCTCTCTGTAGAGAGAGAAATAGTTATCATTTCAAGTCCAATTGCTATTCTTTAAAACTGAAGGGCACTGGAAGTTTGAGATTTTATGCTGTTGACAAGAAGGGAGGAGCAATAAGTGGAGCAAACATTTGCTGTTTCTGTTTCCAGAAAAAAGCCTTAAGCTTTTGCACCCTGGTTGTTTTCCTTGGTATAACCCATTTCTGTATCCTTTTATGTTAAGAGAGCAGTTTTGAATGTTTATGACACATATCTAGTTTTCATATCTACTCCTGGATCTTTTGGAAATGAAAACAATATATTCCAACTTCTACCCTCAACAAAGCATCTCCTTAAACTCATGTCCTTCCGTCCTCAGCTCCAACAAAGAGTGCACGCAGAGATCATGGATTTTGTCACCAAGATTGAGATTTATCTATTTAGGTACTTCTGATCCCATCCCTTTGCAAACCTACCAACCTGGACCTCTGCCAAAATTTTCCTCTCTATTGCCCTGAATTCTGTATTAAGACACAACTCCTAAAATTTCTTTGACATTCTTTCCTCCTTTATATTCTCCCTAAGACCTCATTTTTTGACCAAATTTCAGTCATCTATCCTAATGTCAGGTTGTGCCTGATTGCTGTTCTATGGATTGCTTGGTGATAATCATAGAATCCTAAGAATTCCTACAGTGTAGAAATACTACATTCAGTCCAACCGGTCCACACTGACCCTCTAAGGAGCATCCCACCCAGACCCAACCCACCACCCTATCCCTTTGTTTTAAGAGGCAAAGAATTGTTACGGTGCAGAACGAGGCCATTTGACCCATCATGCCTGAACCTACTCTTCAAGCAAGCATCATTGCGTAGTGCCAATCTTTCTGCATTTGTCCATACCCTTGCTCACTATATTTCTACGCTAATAATCACCCAATGCCCTCTTGAATACCTCAATTGAATCAGCCTCCACACATTTCCAGGCAATGCATTCCATACCCTAACTACTCACTGAATTTCTTTCATCAACCTTGCTTCTTTTGCACATCACTTTAAATCTATGCCCTCTCGCTCTTGTTCCTTTTACAAGCAGGAACAGCTTCTACCACTCTCTCCAGTCCGTACGTGATTTTGAAGATTTTTAAAGATGTTGCTCAATGGTTAGCACTGCTGCCTCACAGCACCAGGAACCTGGGTTCAATTCCACCCTCGGGTGACTGTCTGTGTGGAGTTTGCACATTCTCTCCGTGTCTGCGTGGGTTTCCACCAGGTGTTCCGGTTTTCTCCTACAGTCAAAAGACGTGCGGGCTAGGCGGATCGGCCATGCTGAATTGCCCATAGTGTTCAGGGATGTACAGATTAGGTGGCTTATAGGGGGATGGGTCTGGATGGGATGCTCTGAGGGTTGGTGTGGATTTGTTGGACTGAAGGACCTGTTTCCACACTATAGGGATTCTATGATCTTCTATGATCTGTTATACAAATACAGGCTGTTACTTAAACAACTGAACAGAATATTGGACAGATTTGCTCAAAAATGTGGATACCCCAGTCCAAACCTCCTTACTATGTTGAAAGTACATTGTTATTGTGGTTATCTTTCTAAAATCTCCTCAAACTACTAGGTTTCCTGAGGTAATGCTCTTCTGATCGACTGTAGAAGCCAGTATAAATTATTGTCTAGTGCTGCAGCTTTATAGTGCAATTTTGAACACTTATTGCCTTACATTGCTGTTCATTGTTCTCTGTCTTTCAGTTTTTTGGTGTTTTAATAACTTGGCTGTATATCAGCCGGCTGGAAGATATCATCTACGAATACGATGCCGTGAATATTGGCCTGATGAGTGGACCGTCTTACAGCCGCTATGGAGGTGCAAGCACATCAGGGGCAGGGTGCTGTTGGTGTTTACCTACTCTCGATGCTGTTGTATGAAATTTGTTGTATGGGGTAATTATAACATGTTATAGGTGTCTCAAGGAGCAGTACAGGCTGTAATACAATCCAGGGGTTCCGATGGTGTTTAAAAAGTTTATATTGCAGCAGTTTAAGACAATCTAAGTCGACCAGAAAAAACTTTTGGAACCGAGAGTAAACTGAGCACAGTTTTGGACGGAGATCAGAGATCAGAGTCTGTGTCCAAATTGAAATCCACCTTTTAAGTTTTCAGATTCGGAAGACCTGGGTTGTATTACCAACGTTTTCTGTATGCTCCCTACATTTCGTATTACTTAACACTCTAAAACTCCCATTCTTTCCATTTAATATACATGAAGCACTATATCTCACTACACTTTTTAAAGGTGCTGTCCTGTGAACAGCATATTTTGGTTTCAGGCCAATTATGTCTTGTTTTGTCATGGTGCAGCCTTGTATTTTGCTACCTCTCTGTCCTGTTACTGCTCCTTTGAAATAGTATAACTATTCTGAGGTGCAACAGGTACTTCATTCATGTATTTCACCATCGTAACCCTGAACACCACCTTACAAACTGAGACAAGAATTGGAACAAATTACATTTTGTGCATTATGATCGTGGATGAATTGCAGATGTAACCACTCCTTCAGTTGGACTTGTCTCCTCATAACTGTATTCCAACTGTTTTGCACAAACATGGGCTTGTGTAGTTCATTCTAAACCAATCTTTGTTCCATAGGTGATCATTCAGGATTTTAGGCTGACACGCGACCTGCTGCCTTTTAATATTTTTTATAAATTTGATTGTAATGTGTTTCTAATTGTTAAAAGGATAGACAAGAGCAATTTTGCCAACATGACTAATTGCAAGGATTTTTGCCAACTACACATCAGGAAAATCCCAGGTATGATTTTTTTTCTTCCATTACATTACAGCCGGTGAGAAACTCTTTGCAAGTTTATCAGAGGCAAACACAGAGAATTCTGGAGAAACTCAGTACATCTGACAGTATCTAAGGAGAAACAGAGTTAAAGTTTCAAGTCTGGTATGACTCTTCTTCGGAAACAGACTCAAAACATTAACTCTGTGTTTCTCTATCCTCAGATACTGCCAGATCTGCTGAGATTCTTCAACGTTCACTGTTTTGTTTGATTTCCAGCATCTGCAGTATTTTGCCTTTATTCGAAAGTTCATCAAAAGTTTGGTGTGATTTCAAGTTTTCATGTTTTTTGCAAGATTCATTTTCATGCCACAGAATGAACAGGAGGTGCTCCAGTACCACACATGCAAGTTTTCAAATGGTCCAATTCACTCATAAGGATTTTGGACCCAACAACGTTCCAGCAGTAGTACTAAAGACATGAGCTCCAGAACTTGCCACATCCCCAGCTAATCTATTCCAGTACAGCTGCAACACTGTTATCCACCCAAACAATTTAGAAAATTGCCCAGCTATGTCCTGTACACAAAATGTAGAACCAATCTAACCAGACGGCACGGTGGCTCAGTGGTTGGCACTGCTGCCTCACAGTGCTAGGGACCCAGGTTCAATTTCACCCATGGGCGACTGTCTGTGTGGAGTTTGTGCATTCTCCCTGTGTCCGAGTGGGTTTCCTTCGGGTGCTCCGGTTTCCTCCCACAATCCAAAGATGTGCAAGCTAGATGGATTGGCCATGCTAGATTGCCCATGGTGTTCAGGGATGTGTAGGCTGGGTTATAGGGGAATGGGTCTGAGTGGGATGCTCTAAGGGCCGGTGTGGACTTGTTGGGCCGAAGGGCCTGTTTCCACACCGTAGGGATTTTTAGAAAAGAGAAATCAACAATTACCATCTGATCTGTCTACTCTTGAATATCAGCAAGTGATGGAAGGAGCCATCAATAGTGCTTTCAAGTGAGCATTGTTGTGGTTGTTGGAAGTCAGTCATCTCGGCGCCTGGATGTCATTATAGAAGTTCTTCAAGGTAGTGTTATAGACAGAGCCATCTTCAGCTGCTTCATTGCTGACATGTTCTCGACTATAATGGCCGAAGTGGGGCTGTTCATTATTGATTACACACTTAACACGAATCTCGATGATTCACTTACCAAACAAGTGTCTATCCATTTGCGAAATGGATAGCATTTGGGCTCAGGCTGGTATTTGGCAATTTGCATTCATGACAGACAATGACAAATTCCAACAAGAGAGAATCAGACTCTCGGTCCTTGATATTCAATGGCATTACATTGCTGAATCCACCGCTGTCAACATCCTGGGATTTATCATTGACCAGAAACTGAAGTGGAATAGCTATATAAATGCTGTGGCAACAAGAGCAGGTGAGAGGCTGGGACTTAGGAAGCGAGCAACTCATCTCCTGTTTCCTCAAAGCTTTGTCCACCATTGGCAAGGCATAACTCGGAAGTGTGATGTAATACTCTCCTCTGACCTGGATAAGTGCATCTCCAACAGCATTCAATCTCAATAGCATCAAGGTCAAACTAGTCCATTTGATTGGCATTGTTTCCACATTCACTCCCTCTAACACCGACACATACACTACAGTGACATAGAAAAATAGGGCAGTCGATAACATGGGAATACACCACCTGCATTCTTCCCCCACCCCTCAAACCAAAAGCAGCAGTCCTCTTGACTTTGAACTATATTACTGTTCCTTCACCATCACTAGGTCAAAAGTCCTGTGAATCCCTTCTTATTAGCGTTTTGGGCAAACCAAAGACCACATGGATTACAGTAGTTCAAGAAGACAGCTCACCACCACCATCATGTGAGCAATGAATGCTGATCTAGTTGGTGATGCCCACATCCTGTGAAAGAATTGAGCAAAATAAAATTGCATCTTTCTTTTAACTAAAATTTTACACTGTTTAAAACATTTTCCTGAGATCTATGATTTCAGATTTTATTAAAATTAAATATTAAAGGTTTGCAGATTTCTTAAAATTAAATTCAATATGCTCACAAGAATAACTGATTTTTTTGTTCATTCTTAGAGTTTAGACATTTTCATACTGATTGACTTAATTTATTTTACTTATAAGTATGATCTGACTAACTGTGAGACAGGCATTTTACGACGCTAAGATCTTCCATCATTTTCACCTCTTGCCCACTTCTTTGATCAGGAGTCTTTGTTGCTCTCTGGGGTTTTGCCTCTTCCTGAATTCTTCTCTAGCCTCTAATCCACTCTAGATCATTTTATTGAGAACTGATCCCCTCGCTCACTGTCACCTGTCTCATTTTGAACTTTGGACTTCTAAGAACAGACCATCTAATGTCCAACATTGTCACCAAATTTTCTGAATAAAAGCCCAAACTCCAAACAGCCCATTGCTACCTGTGGCGACGCTGTCACTTTAAAAAGATTATTTTGTCCTGGGTTTTTTTTGAACAAAGGTTGTAAAGGCAGAGATGGAAAACTGGCTACTGGAAGTGGCCACAGTAAACAACTTGGGAGGTCATTAACGACAACAACAAAAACGGAGAAGTTGCTGGAAAAGCTCAGCAGGTCTGGCAGCATCTGTGAAGAAAAAATCAGAGTTAATGTTTCAGGTCCGATGACCCTTCCTCAGAACTCAGAGTACGTTTTTCCAACTGGCCTGAAATTGACCAGGATATTCTCATTGATGTCTGTTTTACAAGTCATGACAGCCTCTCACGTATGAGGAGGGCATTTGTTTCAGTGCTGCACAATGCAATGTGTTGAAACACTCACTGTGTGTTGCTTAAGCAGAGTAGTACCTGGGTTTTATAACATTGCTGTAATCTCATATCTGTCATAGGGGTAGTGGCATGATGACAGTTATAATTCCACTACCTACGTATTTTTGACTCAAATATAAAATCAGTATACCACTATGTATCTACCCTAAACCAGATGTTCTAACTTTGCTGCATAAAGGAAAAGACTTTTAAAACCTGCAAGAACAATGATAAGCATGATTCTCTAACGAAGCGATAATTAAGCTCAGAACTACATCAGATTGTATTTTCTTCACTGACTCTTGTGGCCTTAAACGTTTCAGTCAGAACAGCAACCTTTTGGACTTCTCTCTGACCTATCAACTGATTCAGTGCAAGTGAACCTTAAAACCATGACCAACACAAATGCGACAGTCAAGAAGGCACAATAACACTTCTTCCTCAGGCAGCTCAGGAAATTTGGCATGTCCATAAGGTCCCTCACCAACTTCTACAGATGCACCATTGAAAGCATGCTGTCCAGGTGCATAATGGCCTGGTATGGCAACTGCTCTGCCCAGGACCGTAAGAAACTACAGAAGGTGGTGTGCACAGCCCAGACCATCACAGAAGCCCACCTTCCATCCATGGACTCTACTTACACAGCTTGCTGCCGTGGAACGGCAGCCAACATCATAAAAGATCTATCACACCCTGGTAGTGATCTCCTACAAGCTCTTCTGTCAGGCAGAAGATACAGAAGCCTGAACACACACACAAGCAGGTTCACAAACAGCTTCTTTCTGGCTGTTAACAGACTGTTGAATGGACTCTCGCCTAAAAAAATTAACCTGCACTGTAACCTGTATGTTTCTAAGTCTTTTTGATCTGTATGTCATTTGCTTGCTGTGATCTACCAGTACTGCTCGTAAACCAAGCTTTTCACTGTATTTCAGTACAATGACAGTAAATCAATAAATCAGTTGCACTTCACTTGCTGACTAATTCACTGTGCTTTACTTGTTCCCTTCTTTATAAGATAGCTTATCTTATGGCTTACCAGAAGCAGCACCATGAGATCCAGCAGTAATCTGTTCAGAGTTGGTGCTACAGTTTCTGTTGCTCCAACCAGCTGGTACATGATCAACATGTGCTACCCTTTGGATGAGACTTTAAATCAAAGTTCTGTCTACCTGTTCTAATGACTTCAGAGTAAGATTAAACTTCCAGAACATTATTGGAAGTAAGTCGAGAGATTTCTCTGATACCATGGGTCAAACTTCCCAACACCACCAAGAGCTGATTATCTTTTTATGAGGACCTCAGTCATTCAGCTGAATAAAATATATACTTTACTAATACTATCATCAGCATCCTCTGCAGTACTCCCTCATGTAAATCCTTTGATCCAATGCCTCATTCCATATTAGCAAAAAGAATTCTCTCAGATAATGTTGAAATACAGTGAAGTCAGATTAAATACACTGGAAGTAATGAGTATACATAACCTAGTAACATTGAGATATTTTTAATCAATCTGGTGAGGCTTGAACCGGGACTTTCTAATCCAGAGGTAGGGATGCTACCATTGCACCACTAGAGCCCTCTTAGTGACTTTGTATACTGTGTGTTTCCTCAAACATCAACCGCCACTCCCACTCCCCCGTGCTCCTTATGGATGTTACTTCACTGGTAGCAGTAAGTAAAGAAAGCTGGGTGATAATAACTTCTAGTAATGTAACCCTTTACTTCGTTATGATTGTGCTTCAAATAGCTCCACAGTATCCTGACATTCACAAGATCCTGACAGCGACCTGATCTGTATCTACTCCTGCCACAACCCTGCTACTGGGCATTGCTTCCCTAAGTCTATGCATCCACCTGAGAGCAAGCCTCTGAGCTGCAATGTATTTGTGTCTTGACTGCTCACTACTCAAGAATCATCACTCAGTGTCAGTTCTCTGCAGTAATTATGGGCTTCTCTGGACCTAAGATTAAGAACATTTCTC